GCGAGACTTCATCAGTCCAGGTAACACCGCTTCCAATAGTTAAGCATACTAAGAAAACAAATCAATAACGAACTTCAAGTATAGTTAGACACTCTGAATATATATACCTATAGACATGTTCTTGTGACAACGCATTACCATTTCTGACACAGTTTATATTTTAATCAAAACAGGCCACCTCAAAGACACGGCAATAACCCAGGAACAAGACAAACACATGCTATGAAATATTTCCACATCAAAATAGTAGCAGCTATTCCTATGAAAAGATAAAGAGTAACCTCTTGTACCAGCCTGTTGTCAATCTAGGCTATTGCGCCTTCAAACACCATTCCATATCAAAAACTGTGTAGGCTTCTCCCTTTGCATCTTATTTGTATAGTAACCAGTCTATCGCATCTTATTTGTATAATACCCAGTCTATTGCACCACCAAAAACCATATATCACTATGAACCTTGTATATACACCTACACCTGCTACATTGTACTTCGACCTGTCAAAAAATTCATGTTTCCCACCTTCACAGCTATCATGTATTCCAAATCTCTTACCATTCGCGCGCAGGGGCGCGCGTTTGCCACTAGTGGAACTATTAAGTTGAAGAGGATCGGAGCTCTCTGAAGAGTGAAGACTGCTGGGACTGCCAATGCCTGGCAGACGCACCAATTTACTGACAGTTGAAAATTTGAAAGGCACACCCAGAGCGTGCGACACAGCGAAATTCCCTTGTTTTTATTTTAATACTTATTAATAATCTAACTATGGTCCACACAAACCCACACAATAGACAGAGAGATGCGCAATTGCTGAATTGCTCACACAGCCGAGATCTTTGCCTAACCCTTAGAGGTTCTACTCACACATCAGTAACAGCTGCTTCCCTCTGAAACTAGAAAAAAAATTGGGTGCAGTCTCCGTGCACCAGCGTCTCCATGTAGGACCACTCAGATAGAAGCCACGTGTCCCAGAAAATACATCCTACGGCTAGGCGTTGTGTAGTTCCTCTGATGGCTCAAGCGTGGAGTGACTCCTCAGGATAATCTAAAAATAGACAACTGAAAACTCCACCTCATGACCGTGGGATGTATTTCCTATGACAGGTGGCTTCCCTCCGAGTGGTCATGCACAGAGACGTCAGTGCAGGGAGGCTGCATTTAATTTTTCCCCTAAAACTTGAAGTTCCTTGCCACGGTGGCTACGCAATCTGCCAGGTTACGTTGGCGGCGATGCCAAATCCTGAGGTTGCGCAGTTGGCTATTGCCTGCACCGCTTCTCTGACAGCAGCCTCGGGATCGGCGGAGCTGGCCGTGGCCGCAGAACCGGCGGCTACTACCGCCATGGATACCAGGATTGATCTCCAGCAGCGAAGCACGTAGCCGCAGGAGCTTACCCCAGCAAGCGACAGTATCGCAACCCAGACATGAACTCAGTTTGGTACTCCTTTTACCGTCGCGAGTCTGGATGGGGCTGGTGCAAGCGGAGGGAGGCCGTGAGCACGCCCCGCGGGTCCACAACCGGAGTCCGCCGCGCCCTGCGTCCGTCAGGACCTTGACCCAAACAATATGTCCACGCACCCCATGTGCATCACGCACATGGGGGCATATGCCTCGTCTCGTCTCACATGTGCCTCTAGGGCTCTAAGGCGCCACGTGTGCCCCGCCTCATCCCGCAAGTGCTGATTGGGGGCGCGGCCACCGCACCAGCCACAATCAGCACAGAAGGAGTTGGTGTTAGCACTGGCGCCGCAAGTGCCTCAGCAACTTTGTAGCATTGGACTGATGCTGTAGGGTCTCTGGTTGGCCTAGAGGGGGTGAATAGGCCTGTTAAAACAAACAAACTTTTATCAAAATCATCCTACGACACTGCCGCTCTGGAGGGCGGCACTCCCGGGCCAGAGCAACGGCACTGCCGCACCTGTAGACAACTTCAAGTCACAGTTCAAAATCCGTGAACGAAAACTTAGATCGAAGATATTTCCTAGCTTACTGCAGGTATGGCAATCACAGATCAAGAGCTAGAAGTAGTAAGAACACCACACACAAGTAGATCTACTAGAAACCCTAAAATCACCACAACCACAATATGTCATACAAGTAATGTAAATCAAGCACAAGTGACATAATGATTTATCACGTGGTTCGGCTCGCCACCAAAGCTTGCCTACCTCCACGTTGTTGAGGTTAGCCACTAAGGCTTAGGACTTTTCAACCTTTCCTTGTTCTCTTAAGTTAAGAGACTCAATTTTTGAGATGAGGGGTGAGTTTACTGGTTTTAAGAGATGATTACAAACCTCCCGGGCTACCACACAAGTTGGCAAGCTCCACGAGCGACGCTCTAGCCGGCTAGGAGCCAAACTCCAAGAGTAACAAACACAACTGTTGGCCAAAACGTGAACCAAGTGCTCTTTAGAGTTAGGGAATCAATGGATCTGCTCTCTAATCGAGTTTTGGACCCTTTTCCTCAAGGATTGATGGAGAAATCAATGGATTTGCTTGGGGTTTGAGGTCAACAATGGAAGGAGAGAGAGAGAGCTCCTGCTCTGTTTTAGGCGTGCTGAAGTGAGGAAGAATAGACAGAGTACCGTTGGGAAGGAAGGGGAAGGGTATAAATACCCCCAGCCCCCAACGGTCACTTAAGTCGTGGCAGTGCCTCTCTTCAAGTGCGGTAGTGCCACACCACGCAAGACAGCAAGGGTAAGAGTGAAGTGTAGACTGTCTTGGCTATGAATCTGAGGATGCATGTGTATGTTTGAGCACTTGGTAGCACATATTAGCTTAAGCATTGTGTCCCTCTTTATAGTACGACTTTTTCTATACTCAAATTCAAAATATAAAAGAATTTAAACCTTCTTTGAGTTTGAAGCCATTTGTAATTGGGGGCTCCTCCGTTTCATGTAGCATCCTCGAACATGAATTCCCTGCTTGTCATCTCGATAAATCTCATTAGTTCTTTAATTACGTGGTCATTATCATCAAAACCCATAATTAAGACTTGATTGCACTCCAGATGCAGGCTGTCAATAAGTTCGATTGTGTTGTGTGGGATTTTTCTATTTTCTTTTTTGTTCTTACAAAAAAAAGGAAGAAATCCCGGCAGAGGTATTTATCAAAACTAGCCTATCGCCGCCAGTTGGAAAGGCGTTGAAATGGCGGTAAGATGGTTCACCATACCACATATGTCGTGTGCGGCGGATAAAACACTGTGCCAATTCAATTGGCGGTAAGCTCGTTACCACTGTATATAAAATTGCCTATTGACTTGGTGTTTTCTTGTAGTAGGCATATTATTCAGCAATCCGTGTAGGCATCTAAAGGTACTTTACATTTTTTACGTGAAATGTCACTGCAAAGGCTTCAATAATCTTGAAATTACTAATAAGCAACAACATCCAGCAAATTCTCAATTCAAAACTTAGCACATAAAACAATCACATCACAAAATAAGAGCTCTTCGTTAGCAAGTTTTCTTTATCTTTAATTCTTTTGGTTTTTAATTTTGGAAGAGAAAAATATTGGATACCTTTTTTGAAACGTAGGATAATCTACATAAAATTTATGAATAATCCATGTCGTATCTTGTATCCTTATACAATCCTGAATATCCATATCAACATGGATATTAAAACTCTTCTTAGGAGATTAAATTTGATCCATTCAACATGGATATTAAAACTCTTGTGTTGAGTGTTTAAATTTGATCCAGATTACTCCAATACCAAATTTATCGTTTAGATGCGTCGCTTTCACCTCTCAGACTGCACAGTCGTTTGTATTTGGCAATTGTGTCTAATTATAGACTAATTGTTCGAAAAAGCTACTCCAATTAGTTTTTTTACCTACATTTAGCTGGTACCAGCCGCAAGATTCGATGTGATGGGTATTGCACAAAATTTTTTGGGAACTAAACAGGCCCCTGTGCCAGCAGTGTTTACTTACTCCTGGGCTCCTGGCCTATACAAAGAATGTGTAGAAGCAATCGCAGAGCGGCAGAGACCTAGCTTACAGATTCTGCAAGTAGTTTACATGTACATATTTTTTTTAAAGCAGAGTTCACATGTACGTATAACATAATTTTTATCTCTAACACTCCCAATTCCCCCTTCAAACATACCCCTCCGTACAAAAAGGAAACAATTAAAGAATACTAGTACTAAGTGAACTAGCTTGTAATTTAATTAAATTTGTATAGAAAGTATTATATTTTTCATATTAAATAAGTATAGTCAGATTGGTCATAAAATATATTTTTATCATATATTTATTTAGAGTCATACACATTAATAATATTCTCTATAAAAAATTAAGATTGTTCAACTTTGACTATATTTAAAATTACATCTTTTTAGGACAAAAGTACTCCTCCATTCTAAATTATAAGTCATTTTAATTTTTTTGGGAGTCAAAACATCTCATTTTTTTTTTACTAGTGAGAATTACAAAGATTTATTACATTAAACAGCTATACTATGAAAAAATTAATGAATAATGTAATAATAATAATTTAGTATCATAAATATTATTATTTTGTATTATATAGATTTTGTTAAACTTAAAATGCTTTCACCGTCTTGCCTTTGGGATGGAGGGAGTAGTATATACTGCTGACAATAACCAAGCCAAGAGAGAAAGAGAAAGAAGACTTCCGTAGACGAGTAGCAACGTCAGTAGGCCACCATCAGCTACAGCAATTTCAGAATGGGCCTCAGCCCGCACGGCCTGCGCCGCAACCAACCCGTTCGGGCGTCGCTACCATGCGATGCGGCGGACGTGGGCCCCGTGATCCGATCCGAGAGACCGAGACACCGAGAGACGAAGCTTCCGCGAAGCAGCAACGGCTCTGCCTCCTCGAAAACCGCCATCTCTCTCTCCCCGCCACCGCCCCCACCTCGCCACGCATCTCCATCTCCCATCTTCTCCACCAACGCCACGACGCAGCAATCCCACCATGCCCCCGCCTCTCCCGCCAGATCCGATCGAGCCGTGCGAGCCGGCGCCGGCGATGGACGCGGCGCTGCCCGCCGCCGTCGTCGCCACCATCCTCTCCCGCCTCGACGTCCGCTCCCTGCTCCTCGCCGCCGCCGCCTGCCGCGGCCTCCGCGCCTGCGCCTCCCACGCTCTCGCCTTCCTCCCCTCCTTCCACCTCCTTGTACGTAGCTCACACGCCCTCTCTCTCCTCGCTCTCCCCCGTTTTCGTCCCCATGAGACTGACGCGCTCCTCGTTTCCGTTTGCTTTTTTGGGTGACTGTTGAAGGAGGTGGCCCTGACGCACGAGCTGCTGCGCCCGCTGCTGCCGCCGAACCCGAGCCTGCGGAGCCTGCGCCTCGACTGCGCTCGCCTCGAGGACGCCGCCATCGCCTGCCTCGCGCGCCCCGGCCTGCACGAGCTCCTCCTCCTCAACTGCGACAACATCAGCGGCCGCCTGCTCTGCGAGCTCGGCACCACCTGCAGAGATCTCAGGTACGTTGACATGGATCTGTGTGCCGTCTGAGGCTTGCTTGTGTCAATTACAATGTCCCCTAGCTTCACTGTTTGCTTGTATGACATCCGCTCTGTTTGAATTAGTACTTCAGTCTTACGGTATGCTATCATGATATTGAATGCACGTTTTCCTACGGACGCAGGGTGCTTTCTCTCAACTCTCTTGGTGCACGTAGGGGACTGGTGGTAAATTTCTCTGATCTACAGGAATTGCTCAATGGATGTTCTCAGCTAGAGGTAGGTTACAACTTACAAATGCTTCGATTTTATTCACTAGTCACCAGTGTGCCGACAGATTGGCACAGTCATTTGGTTTCTTTATTACATGAATCGAGGAAAGCATGCTTGTCAACTCCTAGTGTTTATAATTGTCCAATTAATAAACTGAAGTCAACTGATATAGAAAGTTTGTGGTATACATACCATGATCTGTATCTTGCTTTATATGTTATTACTTATTAGTTCTTGGTAGTGCCATCCTCATGATTTGTATATGAGTCATTGATGAGCCACTGTGATCAGACTGTACTTCTACTTGTGCACACCGTACTGATTTTGAATTAGTCTGACATTGTTCCAACCTTTTCAGAGTCTGAGATTGGCACTTGATTTCTCAACTTTTGATGACCCCAACTTTGGTCATGTATGGGCATCTGCTTCTGAAAGCCTATCATCTCTTGAGATTGGTTATATTCCTATGACAATGTTACTTGAACTTCTGGCAGCTGTTACGGAAGCACAACAATGCATGGATTATGTTAAGGCACCAGTTTTCTTTCCTAGCCTTCAAAAGTTATGCCTGGCTGTGGATTTCATAACCGACCATCTGATTGGTTCCATATCAGTCGCACTACCATCACTGACACATCTGGACCTGCAAGATGCGCCAATTGTGGAGCCTAATTCATCATCAGATCTCACCAATGCTGGTCTTCAGCAAATCAATCCACACGGTAAACTGAAGCATATTTCTCTCATGCGCAGCCAGGAATTCTTAGTAACTTCCTTCCGCCGAGTGAATGATCTCGGAATCCTGTTGATGGCTGACAGGTGTTCAAATCTTGAGAGTGTATGTCTAGGTGGTTTCTCCCGTGTTACAGACACTGGTTTCAGGGCAATCATTCACTCTTGTTCCGGCCTTCACAAGCTTCGGGTGTCCCATGGAAGCCATCTAACTGATCTGGTTTTCCATGACATTATAGCCACTTCTCTTTGCCTAACACATGTGAGTCTGAGGTGGTGCAAACTACTAACTAATGTTGGGATAGAGAGATTATCATGCAACAAGGATCTCAATGTACTGGATCTCAGGGACTGCCGCAGTTTGGGTGATGAAGCTGTTAGGGCTCTGAGCTGCCTTCCCAAGTTGCAGACTTTGACGTTGGATGGCACTGATATTAGCGATCAATCATTGAAATATCTGGGACTTGGAACATGTCCTCTAACTTCCTTGTCTCTTAGGGGTTGCCGGAAGCTTACAAATGATTGTATCACCTTGTTATTTGCTGGCCCTGTGAAGCAGAGCCTACAGGTGTTAGATCTCTCCAGAATTCCAAGTATCACAGATGATGGTATCATGCTGTTAGCAAGGACCAGAACTCCTCTTAATGAGCTCCGAATGCGAGAAAATCCGAAAATCGGGGATGCCTCTGTGATGGCTCTTGCTTCCATGCAATTGGATGGTGGAACTTATGGCAGCAGCTTGCAGCTGCTGGATCTTTTTGACTGCGGTGGGATTACACCCCTTGCAACTCGTTGGTTTAAGAAACCTTACTTCCCTAGATTGCGGTGGCTGGGAATTACAGGTAGCTTGAATAGGGTTATGGTGGATGCACTGTCTCGAAGCCGGCCTTTCTTACATATGGCTTGTCGTGGTGAAGAATTAGGGACTATGCTCTGGGACACCTCCACTGACTGGTATTGGCATAATGACGACGATCTTGATGAGCTTGAACAGTGGCTCTTGGAGGGTGAACCGGTTTCAGATGATGACACCATCATGGAAGAATGAGGAAACTGTTTGGTAAGCTGTTGTCATGTGCCATAGTTGCTTAACCAAATATGATTTCACCAAGCTCGAATCAGCTATATATTGATCTATTGTACTAGTAGTGAAGATATTCTCATATATACCATTCCTTGGGTTGCCATTCCGTGTGCATATGGCAACCATGTTATGTATGTTCGATTCAGATTCTGGACGTTGCATATGGACACATAATTTTTCTTTGTATTGAATTGAATTCTTAACTTGGTTGCCAGTACCTGCTCTGCAGTTTTTGCCCTTGTCCAGTTCTCGTGTGACCCTGACATGCGGGAGTCGTGCTGATTATTCCAGGCGTGAAACTAGTGTGCTGTTTTTATCATATTGATATTTCTACTCATACTTAGCAAAACTATTTCAAATCGGTGCTCATATGTATGGTGTCTATGCTTTCTGGTGTAATTGAAATTCAGTCACATTTTTACACATATATTGATCTGATAAAATGGAGAGGTCCTCACTTTGGCTAAAATACTGTTCTGGCTGAATGGTTGTGAGAGAAAAACACTGTTTCGGCTGAAAAAACAAGCTGAATAGTGCGGATTATAAGATAAGTCGAACGGGCCATTGGCCTTTGGCCTTTGGATGATGCCTTTGGATGGATCGTCACATGGCAAGCTTAGCCGAAAGGCATCCAGCGTCTTATTTAAACACTCCTGTAATGCAGGAAACTGTGTATTTACTCTCTCTGTCTATCAATGTAAAGCGTAGTTGGTTTTGAAAGTCATACTTTCAATTTTTTATATACTTCAGCCGTCCTAAAATAATTGTACTCGTTTGGAGGAGTCAGTTTTTCTAAGTTTACCTAATAAATATTTAAAAAGACTAATATTTATGATGCATAATAAATACTATTACCATAAGATCAATATTGGAACATATTTTCATAATAAATATATTAGGAGATATAAACATTGATAATATTTTATACAAATAGTCAAATATTGGAATACATTAGGAGATATATCCGTCCTAAAACAAGATATGTAGTTATATTGGGACAAAGAGAGTACCTATTTATGTAAAACATAAATCTATTCATTTTCAAAAGATTTTTTTGCATCCGTATATATTGCAAGAGAAATTAAACATAAAAAATATATACTTATAAAGACTTAAAACAGATGGATAAAATATGAAGGAGTACTTAAATTTTATTTAAAAATACATTGATGGATGAAACAGTACTCAAAACTTTATCCCAAATCTCATGTTGCAGACGCTAAACATATATCTCAAAATATTTCTTTCGCAGATTTCTTTTTCTTTTCCTATACGATTTACCAGGAGGATGACGCAAAAAGAGGGCAACGCATGTTATTGTCAAGACGGCATCCGAATCCGAGTGTTCGCCGAGTCTCAAACCAGTGTGGGGTGCTATTCTAGGATTCCACCCTATCCATCCCATCAACCCGCTCCTCAGTCTTCAGCTTTAGGTCCCCAGCGGCGGCGAGGCGATGGCGGCGCCTGTGACCGTGTACGGGCCGGTGATCTCACCAGCGGTGGCCCGCGTGGCGGCCTGCCTCCTGGAGAAGGACGTGCCGTTCCAGATCGAGCCGGTGGACATGTCCAAGGGCAAGCACAAGTCGCCGTCCTTCCTCAAGCTCCAGCCCTTCGGCCAGGTCCCTGCCTTCAAGGACCACCTCACAACCGTCTTTGGTACCTCCCTCTCCCAGTTCTTCTACTACTCTTGTTGCATCTCCAGTAGTATCTTTTGGGTTTTATTTATGCAATGCTTCATGGCATTAGTATTGCAAGAACACCTTCAAATTTCACATTTTTCACTTCTAAGTTCCTTTCGTGTTTCGTCAGCAAAGATGCAATAAGAATACAGATCTGCAGTTACGTTTTGAAGCAGAAATGCATATTTTTGCAAAAGTCCAAATTGCTGAAGCATTAGGATATATTCTAGGAGTTACCTGTGCATATGCATGCCAAGCTGGTAAAAGAAAACCTAAGAGATCTTAGATGGCCAATTTCTTTACTCTGTTTATGGTTCATCTTTGGCAGAGTCAAGGGCTATTTGCCGTTACATATGCGATCAGTATGCGGACCGTGGTAACCAGGCCCTTTTTGGCAAGAAAGAAGATGGTGCGGTTGGCCGTGCTGCCATTGAACAGTGGATAGAGTCTGAAGGCCAGAGCTTTAACCCACCGAGCCTGGCTATTATCTTCCAGCTTGCATTTGCACCGATGATGGGCCGGCCAACTGACCTGGCTGTGGTTGAGCAGAATGAATCCAAGCTCGCTAAGGTGCTTGATGTGTATGACCAACGGCTGGGGGAGAGCCAGTACTTTGCTGGTGATGATTTCTCCCTTGCCGACCTTGTGCACTTGCCCAATGCGGATTTCCTTGTGAACAGGACCAACAAGGCTGGCTTGATCACCGAGAGAAAGAATCTGGCTAGATGGTGGGATGATGTCTCGGCTCGTCCTGCATGGAAAAAGGTTACTGAGATGCAGAGCGCACCAAGGCCCTCTTAGAGCCTTTTTTATTGTTTCTTTGAGCAGCTTCTGATGGCAATTAGTGGCATTCTCCTTGTTTTGTCATCAAGTCCTTGTTTGTACCGTTGCATGTTCTCTTATCGGTCTTAACTCCTGATCTATGTATGGTTGGATCTGTTCTTCTGGTCCTTTAGTTTATCCATGTAATGTACCTACAATTATTCATATGGTTTGCCATCCAGATAACGAAGTAGCCTGATTCCGTTGCAAATGCACCGATTCAAGAGCTTGGTTCAGAATGCTTATGAATGTAATCTACCTCATCACTCGAACGTGCAACTACTTGATCAACATATTCTACATCTATGGATTACCCCAAATGTGGAGTGGGTTATTTTAGTGACCTGTTTACATTGGACTGGTGAAATAAAACCGTAAAATTATGATGACTGGAGCAACTCTATGAGCAAAGGACTGTATAGTTATGACTCATGGCAAACCGAAGGCATGGTTATTGGGCAATGGCTCTGGAGCAGTGCATTAGAGATTTCTAAAGAATTTACTGATACTGTAAGCTGCTACCGCTACAGGATGAAGATGAAGAAAATGGATTTTCCCACTTCATTTACTATCCCACCTGATACCATTATCTGTAGTATCATGCCAAAGAAAGAAAACAGCTCAGGATGCCATTTCATATTTTTTTTACTGGCATTAGTCCTGACAAATCAACTTTGTTCTTGTAACTCTTCTTTTGGTTAAAAAAACTAGAACTTCTGAAATACCTAGAAGGGCGGGCCTGGTGCAAGCGGTAGAGTCTTACCGCCTGTGACCGGAAGGTCCCGGGTTCGAGTCGTGGTCTCCTCGCATTGCACAGGCGAGGGTAAGGCTTGCCACTAACACCCTTCCCCAGACCCCGCACAGAGCGGGAGCTCTTTGCACTGGGTACGCCCTTCTGAAATACCTGATTTAAAGCGTAAGAACACGCTGGTATGCTCTTTATTCTTTTTAAAGCCTAAGCACATGTAGACATGTCCTTTGTTCTTAACTTGCATCCATTTAACATTTGGATTCATCTGACTCCATACCAGGGACACTGCTTTTGCCCAAAACCTTATTCTTGTACCCTGACAGAAGCTACAAGATCCTCTTTGCTGATGTTACTTGTAGCTGATGCCATATTCTTTTTTATCTGAAACCAGTTCTCATGACATATGGTCATAAACCTTCTATGCATTGTGCAGTCTCCCAAACTTCTGTTCTGTATATTGTATGTTTCATTGCAGTGCAGAAGTGAAAATAAATAACACTGTTTTGTATGCATTGTTTTGCTGGTAGAGACAATATGATTGTTGCAAGCAAGAATCCATACCTCCCCTTTGTCTTTACACTTTCCCTTTTCCATTTATGTGGTGTCAGGTAGCAAGGCAAGCATTTCATCTTTCTTGTTTCTTTAAATACCTGGTAGTGAGACATGTTCGCATCATCCCTCATTGTCATTTGACAGCTTTGAGCTAGAGATCAAAGAAATCAAAGGGAAGCATGGCAGCAGGCTTGCAAGTGTTTGGCCAGCCTGCATCTACTGATGTTGCCAGGGTTCTGACATGCCTGTTTGAGAAGAAATTGGAATTTGAGCTTGTCCGCATCGATACATTTAAGACACATCACAAGCTTCCTGAGTTCATTAGGCTGCGGGTATGGCACTTGCATCAGTTTTTTCTTTTCCTTTTTGTGCTCAGTTTCGATACTCAAATAAGTTCAAAGTTGCACTTATCCCGTTTGCTATTTACAGGATCCGAACGGGCAAGTGACCGTCAAGCATGGCGACAAAACTCTTGTCGGTGAGTTACGAGTATTACAGTGTCTAATATGAATAAACATTGAGCACACTTGGTTTCATTTCCTATAGAGTATTGAAATGCGAACCTTAATTTTGTGCAGATTCAAGGGATATATGCCGGTACGTTTGTAACCAGTTTCCAAATGATGGAAATAAGACCCTTTATGGATCTGGTGCTCTAGAACGGGCATCAATAGAACAGTGGCTTCAGGCGGAAGCTCAAAACTTTGGCCCTCCTAGCTCTGCACTTGTCTTTCAGCTGTCATTCGTTCCTCATCTCAGTCATTTGGGGATTCGTCAGGACCCTGCTGTTATTGCTGAAAATGAGGATAAACTGAAGCAGGTCCTTGATGTTTATGATGAAATACTCTCCAAGAATGAGTACCTGGCTGGTGATGAATTCACCTTGGCTGACCTTTCTCACCTTCCAAACTCGCACTACATCGTAAATACTGAAAGAGGAAGAAAGCTTTTCACTAACAAGAAGAATGTGGCAAAATGGTATGACAAACTCTCCAAGCTCGAGACATGGAAGCAGGTCGTCAAGATGCAGAAGGAACATCCTGGCGCATTTGAGTAATTGCTTAACTTGGTGGGCTATGAGTTTATCTTGAATGGCTTCATCGTTTGTGTCAGTCTGGCTCTGCAGTGTTGTTAGTGATCCATTGTTTTGCCCATCTGTGTTGTCGTGTCAACCAAAATCATGTGAATCCCTACTGTGATGCATTATCTTTTTGTTCTGAAACGCATTTGTCTCCATGTATTGAAGGGTCTCTGATGAATAAAATTGTCCCCTTGTCCTACATTCTTGTGAATTATTGCCTATTTCTTCTATGGGCCAATTTATCATCACGTATAAGCTCAATCTTTTACCTTGTCGTGTATGCTCAATACTTCATATTTTCACTGATGTTATCGAGAGATATAGTAGAAAGTCTGTTCTAACTGTCCGTTGGTATTCCTTCTGTATGGATAAATCAAATGCCTAGTTTGATGCGCCTTTGATTAATTGCATGCCACAAAGTCAAGATTTGACGCCTTTTGTCGATTCAAAGTACATGAACAATTTTGAACTCGAATGTACTGTCAAGATATCAAAGTACAGACTACAGAAAGCACATAGTGTCTGCTTGACTAAAGGCCATCAGTTAGCTTTTGCTGATGTTAGCGGAACTTTGAAGCGTCCAAATCACCGGAACTCGCAGCCTTGTTGGGTGTGTCTGCAGCTCATTTACTTAAGAATCCTGCTGACTGCCAAGCCAATTCTTGAAACTGAAGTACTGAACCATAGTTGTTTGATAGTGCGCCTGAAATTTTTCATGGACAAATCCAATTTTTTAAAAATAAAAACGTTAATGGATCTGAAAAATCATTGTGCAGTAATGGGTACCAGTGGGGCAGTTATCTAGTTTGTTTTTATTCTATTTTTGAAATCCAGATTAGTTCATTTAAATGAGTTTTAGATCGGACCCACTGACCAGAAAAAAAGGCTTAACTTGGCATTCCTACGCACAAAGAAGAATAAATTGGCTTACATCCTCAAAATTCTAGGTACCAGATGTTCTGGCATGACTTATTTTTTTCCCCGAAATGATAGCAAAAGCTTTATTTGTGTCCCAAAATGATAGCAAAAACTACATTCCCGCTGCCAAACGCAAACTAATAAAGAAGGTGAAATGCAGAAAAACAGGAATGACAACATACCACCACCCACCAACATGACAACCATCATAACAAAGAAAACCACAGCATTCGTCGCCAAGAGCAACTCTGCACACCACAACAACATCAGGAGGGGATTCCCCACAGTGATGTCTCTGTATATCCACATGTGCCACCAGCGCTGGCCTAAAACCCAACACTAGGGTTTTAGTGAAGCCTCCGGATTAGGGAAGAGGCACTAGTAGAGAAACGACTTTTGATCCACTTCAAAATTTGGCTTTAGTCCTGATATTTTTCGCGCCCGGGACTAGAGAAACCTTTAGTCCCGGTTGGTAGCTCCAACCGGGACTAAAGGTCCCTGCCCAACGGTCGGCTACTGCGGCAGGCTTTTACTGCAGGGGACCTTTAGTCCTGGTTGGAGCTACCAACCGGGACTAAAGGTTAACTTTTACTCCCGGTTGATCTCTCCAATCGGGAGTAAAAGTCTACTCTCACTGGAGGCTCCATCCAGAACTAGAAAGGGACCTTTAGTCCCGGTTACTGTCTTCAACCGGGACTAAAGGTCCCCTTCTATATACCCCTTCTTCCTCCCCAAGCCCGAGCCACTTTGAGCTCAATGTTCTTGCTTCATCGCCGACCTCTCTTCTTCCTCATCGCCGGTAATCACAAGATTTTCTTCGATTCCTCCATCGACTCTTCGGTTCTAAAGGTTACCAACTTTATACTCTCATATTTCATCAGTAGCATATCTCATTTTGTGGACTAGATATATGTGGTTTTTTATGGTGGATTTTTTTTATTTATAAGCCATTTAAGCTCAAAATCACTTTAAAGTTTGCATATTTAGATGAAGGAAGGTTAAAGTAGTTATTCAAAACTAGTATTCAGCTTTCATTTCTAGCATGCATAGTACACTTCATGGTTTAGAGATATAAATAATTTTAGAGTTTTTTTAATTTTATTTGTTTATAAAATGAGAAATTTATATTATATTAAAAATAAGTATAGAGAGTAGATGACAACTGCTTCCGGGTCCTCGGCCTCTCATCGGGTTCCAAAGCGACTGAGGTCGGACCTCCCTCTCATTGATGCGGCAAGTGTGAGGAGAAGATTGTGATGGAGTACCGGGTGAGGAAGGAGTGTCCCAACAAGGACCATATCTTCTATAAGTGTCCGGATCGCAATGTGAGTTATTTTGTCGCATTTGATGATTATGGTTAATTTATACTTATTTTCATGATGATTGTGATTAAAGTTCTAATTTTTTATTTTAATTTCAGTGCGATGGCACTAGATGTTCAGGCTGGTACTGGGAGGAAGAGTATGTTGAACACGTGCAAAACTCTCTTGCACAGGCGGCTACGGCGGCTGATGAGGCAGTGATCCTGCGGAAGAAGCCCATAGATGTTGAACAAACGCACGATCTGTCTATTTTAGTTGGGATTGATCGCGAAATCCTTATGCTGCTGAAGTGCATTTTAGCTTTAGTTTTTTTAGTGGTAGTTGGAATTGTCTATATTGTAGCGAGACTTTTATAAATTAATACCTTGTGTGATGGCATGCATGTCATATAATTAATTAATTATGTTCTATGTTTTAATATGGTATGTATGTCATGTAATACAGATGAGCCGGCATTGGATGTACAATGCTGATCGCCGCTCCCAAAAGTTCATTGAGGGCGTGCATTCTTTCTTACGTGTGGCCGAGGCAAACAAACGCGATGGTTTCATGTGCTGCCCATGTGCCATATGTAAGAATTTAAAGGAATATGCTAGCTAAAAGAGTCTTCATTCACACTTGTTGAAGTCGGGTTTCATGTCAAACTATATTTGTTGGACGAAGCACGGAGAAACCGGGGTTGTAATGGAAGAAGGTGAAGAAGAACAATGGGACGATGATGACATTATTGCTGAATATGGTGCCTTTAATGATACTACAACGGGAGAAGCTGAAGAAGAGGTAGGGGCAGAAGATGAGCCCGCTAATGATCTTGGTCAGGCCATTCGTGACGCACAAAGAGAACGCGAAAGTGAAAAGGAGAAGATCAAGTTCGAGCGCATGCTAGAGGATCACAAGAAATTGCTATACCCAACTTGTGATGCGGGGCAGAAAAAGTTGGGTACCACACTAGAATTGCTGCAATGGAAGGCAAAGAATGGTGTATCTGACAAGGGATTTGAGGAGTTACTGAAAATCCAAAAGAAGACGATTTCGAAGGATAACGAATTGCCCGCCACTACGTACGAAGCAAAACAGGTAGTCTGCCCTTTGAAATTAGAAATTCAGAAGATACATGCATGTCCTAATGACTGCATCCTCTACCATGGCGAGGAGTACGAGAAGTTAGATGCATGCCCGGTATGTCATGCATCGTGGTATAAGATCAGGCGAGATGACCCTGGTGATGTTGAGGGCGAACGTCCCATGAAGAAAATCCCTGCCAACATTATGTGGCATGCTCCTATAATACCACGCTTGAAACATCTGTTCAGAAACAAAGACCATGCAAAGTTGTTGCGATGGCACAAAGAAGACCATAAGGTAGACAATATGTTGAGACACCCTGCTGATGGGTCCCAGTGGAGAGCAATCGATAGAGAATTCCCGGAGTTTGCAAATGATGCAAGAAACTTAAGGTTTGCTTTAAGTACGGATAGTATGAATCCTTTCAGGGAGCAGAGCAGTAGTCATAGCACTTGGCCTATTACTCTATGTATCTACAACCTTCCTCCCTGGTTATGCATGAAGCGTAAGTTTATTATGATGTCAGTGCTCATCCAAGGCCCAAGGCAACCTGGCAACGACATCGATGTGTACCTGAGGCCACTAGTTGAAGAACTTCTACTTTTGTGGAACAGACTAGGTGTACGTGTGTGGGATGAGCACAAATAGGAGCACTTTGACCTGCGAGCATTGTTGTTCGTAGCAATCAATGATTGCCCTGCTCTAAGTAATCTTTTAGGACAATCAAACAAGGGATATAATGCATGCACGCACTGTTTCGATGACATTAAAGGTATATTCTTGAAAAAATGTTAAAAGGTCGTGTACCTTGGCCATCGTCGATTTCTTCCTACGAATCACCCCCTAAGAAAGAAAGGCAAGCATTTCAAAGGTAAGGCAGACCACCAGACCAAGTCGGGCAACCGAGCTGGTGTGGATGTACTCAATATGGTCAAGGATGTGAAAGTAGTATTTGGAAAGGCACATGGTAGCGAACCTGTTCCGAACGACGCTGACGGTCACGCACCCATATGGAAGAAGAAGTCCATATTTTGGAAGCTACCCTATTGGCAAGTCCTAGAGGTCCGTAGTGCGATCGACGTGATGCACCTGACGAAGAATCTTTGTGTGAACCTGCTAGGCTTCATGGGTGTGTATGGGAAGCCTAAGGACACACTTGAAGCACGACAGGACCTGTGGTGTTTGAAAGAACGAGACAACCTGCAGCCAGAGAAGACAGATGATGGACGCCATTACTTAAGTCCTGCCAGCTACACTCTTAGCAAAGAAGAGAAGGAAAGCATGTTTGAATGCCTAGCAAGCATCAAGGTACCATCTAGATCTCCTTGAATATAAAGGGTATAATAAATGTGCCAGAGAAGAAATTCGTAAACTTAAAGTCCCATGACTGCCACGTGCTCATGACGTAATTTCTTCCAGTTGCATTAAGAGGAATTCTACCTCCAAATGTACGTTTAGCCACCGTAAAGCTATGTGCATTCCTCAATGCAATTTATCAGAAGGCAATCGATCCAATGGATCTAGCTAAACTACAGAATGATGTGGTTCAATATCTTGTCGACTTTGAGTTGGTGTTCCTCCTTCCTTCTTTTTAATATCATGACACACCTCCTAGTTCACTGGTCAAGGAGATTAGCATTCTCGGTCCTGTGTTCCCGCACAACATGTCCC